TCCTGGGAGCTTGTGTAGCTGCACTGTATTCTGCATCCTTTATATCTTTATCAGTGCTAAATATGCATGGTGAGGTGTTGCAGGATATGATATATCCCCATAGTTCTCTGTATCTTTTCTGCTCCCAAAGGTTGCTGGTTTTCTTCCATCAGACCTGTGTGCCTTCCTGCATTTCCTGGCTGGAAGCTGGAGAAGAGGCCAGCAGGGCTGTCCAAGACTTTTCTGGGGCTGCATGCTGCTTTTGTTTGCCCTGGATAGTAACAAAATGAGGTGTCATTCAAGTCCTTACGATTACAGATGGTATTTTAGATGTTATTGCTAATACAGTGCCAGTGACTGATAGACTTGAGTATTCTTGATTTCACAGATGTGTTTGGAAAGACAGTTGATATGATCACTGCATAGAAAGTGATTGAATTGTGTGGTTTATATACCCCATTGCAAAGTTCCTTCTGTCCTACTGCTGCTCACCTGTCAACTGAAGGTTCAGGTGTGAATTATCTAAGAGATGATATTCCCATGCCAATATTTGTATGGCCAGCAAACTTGGGGCTGGGAAAGACTTCCCCAAAAGCTTTGTGAAAAGCTTATCTGGGCTTTCCAGACCATGCAAGGAGGAGTATCACAGTCACAGCCATCTGCTGGCAATGAGCTTGGACTTCAGATTAATTGCAGTTCAGTTTGAACTTAAGTCAAAGCTGTAATGGTGGAAGTTTGCCGGGTGGTTTGGTTCCTTCTCACAGGCATAGTGGCCAGGAGAAATGTTCCACATATAATTACGGGCTTTTGGAGAATGGGACCCCAGACTTCATCAATGGTGCATGAAGACATACAATATAACTGCTGAAAGAGAATAACACCAGCATGTACTACGTGTCAGTCTGGGGGTGGTAGTCAGCCAATGGCATCCATCTCATGGATGGAGAAAAATACCAGAAATGGACATAAAACCACAGTGCTAAGCAAGAAAAATGTTATTTAACTAATATCAAGCAGAAAATGGGAAGGGAAAAATACAGACTTGATATGTGCATTTGCATGTAACCAAACCCCTTGATTGTCTGGCACGTTGGCAGCAGAACAGCACTGTTGGGATGACAAGACCTGCAGTGAATGCTGCTGTAATGTGCAGCAGCACAGTGAGTGTAGCATCCTCCAAGCAGCTCAGGACACAGCTGGTTTTTAGGCCCAGCAGGCAGCCAAAAAATTCATCAACTTTCAGTAGGCTCATTTGCCAGCACAGAAAATAGATGTGTTTTATATTTGTACACTGCAAATGGAATACTGATGGCATACAGTAGTGGAATAGGAACATGCTTCAAGTGCATTGATTAATTGATTTACTGCTATTTATTTTTATAAAAATCAAAGAATAATGGAAGAGACATTTAAAGGTCATCTATTCCAAACCCCCTGGAATAAGCAGCAACATCTTCAACTAAATCAGGTTGTATAGGGCCCTGTCCAACCTGACCTTAAATTTTCCAGAGAAGGACCATCTGCCACCTCTCTGGACAGCCTATACAACTGTCTTACCAGCCTCACTGTAAAAATTCTTCCATATATCCTGTCTAAATGGCACCTTCTTTAGTTTAAAACCATTAGCATTACACACTGCATAAATTCCAGTGCTTCAGATGCTGTTACAGGCACCGTGCTAGGGAAAAAAGTAATCTGTTGCTAAACCAGTAGGGGAACCCTTCACATCTATATATGAAGTATTTTGGTGTCAGGTAACTGAAAACCATTTTGAAAAGTGGAATTACCCAGCTGTAAGAGAAGCTACTCTGGGATACCCTCCCTAAAAATGGTGTGGATATTGTCCCTCTCAAGTCCCATAGCACATCAAAGTATTGGCTTGCTGCTAAATACCATAAGAAGAAGAGACAAATACTTAGTTATTCACTACTTAAAAGTCATCATAAAGCTTATAACTGCTCAGGAAAAGGTGTTGTCTTTTATGCTGGGTAATACCAAGACAAGAAGATGAATTACTCTATGTTTGTCTCTTCATTTATATAATTGCTGTGTTTGAGTGCTTTTATCACCAAGGTGAGCTCCAGAAACTGTTGAAAACTGTTTCTAGGTTATAAATAACCCTTCCTCACATACTCCTTTTGGAAGACAAATGCTAGGTAGGAGTGGATGTGACATAATGCTGATTTCCTGTCCTAGGAGAGTAAGATCTGGTAGCTGCCTTCAGACATTCTTTCTGTACTTCCTCCAGCTTTCCTTTCCTGGTTTCTTGTCTCTGCAGGATCATCTCAGATGGGCAGTGTCTCTGTCTACAAAAGTAGCCAGCAAGGGGCACAGCATCTCACCTGAGAGGAGGCCAATGGGTCTCTGAATTTTCAGAGCTGCTCCATTCAGCTTTAAACCATGACTATTTTAATATCCAGGCCAGTATTTAACTGGAATCCCTGTGTTCTTCTCGGTCAGCTGGATGTCAAGTTAAATTGGATCAGGTGGTTCAGAGTGTGAAGGAGCAGGCAAGGGTTTGTGACTCAAGGTACAGCCTGTGGAGCAGAGCTGGGGTGCAGTGATGTTCATTCAGCCACTCCTGGTGTCTGAAGGGGGCTGGTGAGAGAATGCTGAGCTCATTTTTATTTTGAAGTCCCAATAACTTGTTTTTCTGTCTCTCTTTGGGTGAGCAGTTTCACTGCAGGGTTTCCTGAGAAGCCAGGATTAAGTGCATTAGTGTGGACTGCTTTGGAGTTGTACACAACTTTGGAGTAGTTGTAACATTAGTGACAGAACAGAGAGAGGCCAATACCCTCAGGGTGAGACAAAGTGCCACCAAATGCCAGTGGCAGGAGTGTTGCTGACCCCATGTGCACCAAACCTTGCACCAGAGCTCTCAGCTGCAGTGAGACAGAGCCTGCTGGGCTTCTATTTATACAATAAATACAGATTTGCTTGTGCAAAAAGAAATGTATGTAGGGACATAACTGCATTTCTGAGAAGAGGAGGGGGGGGTTATGTCCTTTTAACTTTTTTCTCTTATGATCCACTTTGCAAGTTCAAACATTGTATGATTTAGAACTTAGAATTAGAACTGCTTAGAACTTAGATTAGAGCTTTAGAATTTAGAACTGCTCTAGGGCATTAGCATGCTGCTCAGCATCATCTTAAATCCAAAGTTAAGTTCTGCTTCTGTGACGCTAGTAGGTAGCTAAAATATATGGGCTGAAAGAAACTCATGATATCCAGCAGGTTGTGCCAGATTTTTGGAAAGTCTGTTCAAGAAGCCTGTCCTTCATAAAAATGAGAGAACGAGTGAGAAAGAGAAATGTTAAAGCAAATGTTTTAAGCCTGTGAGATAGAGAACATGACCATGAATATAAATCGTCTAATCCATGTTGTCTGTGACACTTGCAATATAATTGGAATTACTTTGAATTATAGGAAAGATTAGAACCCATACTTCTTCAGTTCTAGACCATGCACTAATACAGTTCTAGCATGATTGTTGTTTTCTGACTCAGCAGTCAGGGCCATCTCCAGGGAGAATGCTGAGAATTGAAATCCTACACAGGAATGAGCACATAGAGGGTTCAAATTGAGCCCAGGCCTCCCGTGCTGCAGTTAACAAAGACTATAAAGAAGGGAGGGTGATTGGATGTAATTTTGAATGAATGATCCGGATCCTCTGCTTTCTTGGGGTTTCTGAGCTGTGTGTGCTACTTTGTGCCTTGGACACCTCTGTTGGACTTTTTCTTGTAGCTCAGGTGCAAGATGACAGATTCTGACACTGCAAACAGGCTTGTGTGAGACTTGCCACACTTCATGTTTAGAAACCAAAGTGCCTGTGGACTCTCAGGTACCCAAGTGTAAATCTCAGTCTTGAATTTTAGAAGCATGGATACTTCTGCTATTTTGGAACCAAGGCGCCGAGCAACTCTGCAATGTTTTGTACATGCAACCCAAATTTAATAAGCAACATTCCCACTCCTTTTCTGTGGGCTGTATGTGAGTAGTGACACTGCTGTGGTTCAGCAGTTTGACTGTAAACACCATTTGCTGATGGGAACACATTCCTACATGAACATCCCCAGGAGCAGAAGCACGTAGTAACAAGTGTGATGCTGTGATCTGCAGTAGAGTAGTGAACACAGCAGCAGAATCATCACTTTGAAGTCCAGTTCTCTTTTAAATCAAGTCAAATCTGTTTTCAAAGATCCTGGTCAATGTGGCTGCTGGTCATGTTCTATATGTCTGCTATTTCTGTATGAGTTCACCAGACCATTGTATCTCTCCTTTCCCATCTTATATGTTCTCAAAATTCCAGCCTAGCTCCATCCCTGGTGCAATGAAGAATACTCCTGAACAGTCTGACAAGCCTTTGGTTAATTGACTTTAACCTTTTCCTACAGGTTTAGTTTAAAAAGTAGAAATTGACATTTAGGACTAAAACCTCGCTTTTTCCAGGAGCAGATGAATCTGGAGATGCCTCCAGTTCATACGTGGTGAGTGATGTTCATCAGATACACATGAGAGCTGATTTAAGCTGATTTAACTTGTGAAAACTTGCAGCAGCTGCCATGAGCATCAGCCCCTGTGTTTAGAGACAGCAGTACTTAAACCCCTTTTGTGTCCAGGAGGAATATCAAACACTTGTAATCTGTCAGAGATATTTCTTTGTAACACTGGTGCTTTAGATTTTAAAGGTTTATATCCTTTATATGTTTCTTTTAACCTGTTAAATTTGTTAGATGTTTGAATTCAACTCCTACAGACTTTAACTTTGTACTCACAGCTGCTGCACTGAGGTCGACATTTTTACATTAAGTAAGTCCAGGTTATTGGTGTCCAAAATACATGACTGATGTAATTTATTGTAAGAGCAGTGTCTTTCAGATGCACATCTGTTCTGTGATCATAAGCCCATGCATTGAAGTGCTTAAATACTCCACTAGGAACTGTTCACATCACAGGTGAAAAATCAGCCTAATCTTCGAGCATTTGTTTGCCTTCTGAGTCTGCCTTTTCTCTTTCTGCAGCTTGTGGATGTGACCTGGCTCAAGGAGGATTTTTTGTGAGACAGGGAGACTACATCTGTACTTTGGACTACCAGAGACTCTATGGCACACGATGCTTCAGTTGTGATGAATTCATTGAGGGAGAAGTGGTGTCAGCACTGGGCAAAACCTACCACCCAGACTGTTTTGTGTGTGCTGTCTGCAGGTAGGTTTTCTACATGAAGTTGTGTTTCTGATGCCAGAATCCCCTGAGTGCCAGGCATTCAAACCTGTAGCATAGAGATAGGATTTTCTGTTACTCACTCCTTAAAAAATTGCAGAATTAAAAAGAAAAAATGTCTGTAATTTTGTATGCCTGCCTTTTTTCCAAATGTGTTTTTCTTTTTTATGTTATCTTACATGTGAGGTTTTCAAAGTACTTTAGAAGCTGCCACTGTCTTCTTTGTAAGATGTTTTGCCCCAAGTGTTGTTTTATTTCTGTGATGTGTGCTGTTTTGTCATTTGTTGGCCTGAAGTTACAAAGGATTCCAATGCCAGAGGCTCTCAGCAGGCTACTACTACTAAAGTGTAGCTCAGTGGGATCATCTCCCACGGGAGTCCCAAACGCAGGAATACAAAGGACTGATGTCATTTTGACCTGCATCTTAATCCTCTTATGTAGAAATAACACAAACATCTATTGAAGACTTCATGAAGAAACTAGAAGTGCACTAAACCTTCAGAAAACACACCATTTTAGCAGTTTGGAGCCAATGGAAATGCTGCCATAGTTTTTCTTGCTAAACTTGAGCTTTTAGGAGTACAAGAAAAGCAGCCCCACTTTCAAAGGGTTTCAAAGCCCAGAGAGGCACTGGTGCAGCACAGCTCAGATGTTCTGTGTGTTGGTGCCTTGTGCAGGTGACTGTGCAGTCCCAAACCAGCATGTCCATGTCCCTGTGGCTGTCTGCCAGCCCAACCTGCCCTGCCCATGGAGCTGCTGAGCTCAGAAATCCTCCTGTGCTGATGCAGGAGCAGGACTTCAAATTCCAGAACATCTGTGGCTCATGACAGAATCTCAATTTAATAAAGCAATTTCACAAATAATAATAAAAGCTGTGATAGAGGGGAGACTCTGAGATGGACAAACCTTTATTATATTGAATTCTGTCTGTTTTGCTCTGTTTAATAGGCAGTTTTTCCTTTTGGATACTTAAAACAAATGTGAAGAGTAAAGATAAGAAAAAATCCTAAATTCTTTTTTATTTTTTCTTTTAATGGTAAGGAAAATGACTTCAAGTATATCTCATGAGTTAACTGCACTAGTACAACTCTTCTAGCAGAGCTAATTTTTGGTACCTTTATTCTAAGCTCTAGTACCTTCTGTAAAGTGAGGTACTTCTTCATTTAAGAAAAATGAAAAAACTGTTTGATTCCGTCTGTATGGCTAAACATGCTTGTGTCCTCAGTCACACCACCAGAGCTTAGAAATGTATTTAATTGTATGTTAACTGTAATGTGTTACTGTGCTTAGAAACTCCCTACCTTAGGTTTCAGGCCATTGGAAATACCAATTCCTGCTTTATATAGTCAGTCCTTCAAGTGATAGTTTGGAGCTTGATGACATAGTTTGTCTCTCTGGAAATGTGGAATAATTTTCCTTGTGACTAAAATATTTATTTTTAGTTACCTGAAAATTCAGGTGGGTTAAATTGCAGCGCTCTGAAATTATTCATGCTGCAAATACCATGTGTGATGAAGGTGTGGTAAAGCTTTAAAAAATTAAGTTCCTGATACAATAATATATCAAAAAATAAAATCAGAGATGTTCCCTAACCTTTTGTGTAACTAAATAGTTGTATTAAATGCTGTTTCACTGTTTCTAGTTGTTCAGTAGAGAGACCCAGGTCTGCTTCTGTTGCTTTTCTTGGAAGGACACACAAATTCATATTGTCTTCATCAGAGCCAGCTAATGCCCTGCTGACTAGCAGGATTCAATTAGTGTCTCCCAGGGGGGTTGTAACACTGATTTGTGGTGCAGAGCAGCAGAAGAATCCTGTCATGTGTTTATATGCTTTAAATCAGCTTCAATTACCCTTGTCATTGCAAGCCAGACATAACCTGTGTTTTTTATGGGGAAGAGTGTCCTGTTTAAACATCATCAGTATTTATTTTATTGAGTGATATCCTCAGTAAAAAAAAGGTTGATAGACTATAAAGACACGTTGTTTAAGCCAAAAGAAGGAACTTTTTTTTTGTTAATTTAAAAACCACTAATAATAAAGGGGAGAAAAAAGTGTAAAGCTCTCTACCTTGATATTTTTCTTGGTGGGAAGAGTCAGGAGAACCATTCATGCCCTCATTTCTTACAGATGGGCAAAAACCTTAAATACTGCACCAAAGCACACTGTCAGTAGTAGTTGGTGGATGATGCCAATTACATTTGGCATTACCTTTTACAGCCACTCTTCAATGTGGGTGCTGTGTTAGAAATGTAACCTCCAGAATGGTGTGAATTTGAGAGGTGGTGACTGCCTGCCAGTGGGGCTGATCCTGCTCTCATGGAAACCAAGCCAGGCTCTTACATCTTCAGCATGAAAACACTGGCAGCAGAAGGCATTTTGCACTCATGACACATTTCTCCAGAATGCTGCAGAATCGTTAAATTATTTTAAATGAGTATTTCTGCAACCCCTATTTCTGTAGCTGCTGAAGTAACACCTCTAAACTGTTTCTACATTGCATAGTAAACCAGTGTCAATAGCAACTCCTTTTTTCCCCCTTTTTTTTCAGAGAAGATAAGGTTTGAATAGAAACATGTGGGAAGTGTGTGGTAGCATCAGTGAGAAAGCCTAGCTGGCAGGAGCAGTGGGGAAAAGTCAGCAATCCAAGCCCAGTTGTCTCCTGATGTTACTACTGTTGGATGCCACGTGGCCCAGTGTCACAGGGAGCTGTATTCCTTGTACCCTCTGTGCTGCCTTTGTGACCTGCTGCCCTGCTCTGTGAAAAAGCTGGAGTATCAGAAATCCAGCTCATCCCTGGGCAGGAATTGGGAGTCAGATGCTACTACCCAGGGCTGCCACAAGCTAAAGTCTGAAAAAGAAAATAAAAATTAGTATTCTGGGAAAAACTTGGAAAAGTACAAAATGTTGTGCCATCCTATTTGATTGTTTCTCTCTATCTTGCGTTAACTAAGTGACTCTCAAAAAAAATCAGGTTTCAATTGCATGTTTACTCTGCTGGAGTAAATACTGAGGGCTTAATCCCTTCTTCTTCCAGTGCTGTTCATAGTCTAGTGAAACCTTTTTTCTGCTGTTGTGTTTCGTGATGATAATGCCTAAAACTAGGAATGAGTGGAAGAATAACAACACAGATTGAAAACTGTTGTGGATTAAATGCTTACTCTGAATTCCCAGGAAGTGGCTGAGCAATCTTCTTACAACTTCAATAATTGGAAGGAGCTGTGTCCACCAGAGAGCTGCCAAAGACATTTCCTTCAGAAACTTCATGTGTTTGTAAAATTGAAATACAAAGAGGGAGAAAATTGAGACTGGCTGTAGTAATAGAAGCTTAGTTTTATTAAAATTGTGCACATACTTTTTACATGGCTGTCGTAGTCAGGACAGTTTGGCTCTAATATAGGATAGGAAAGGGCAGGACATTGGGTCTTTCAGAAAGAAATGAGTTGTCATACCTTTGATAATACTCTGAAAATGGAATTTTCAGGAGATGTCTTAGTGTTTGGATAAGTAATATGGATTTAGTAAGCATATATAAGATGTATGGTTCATCTAATGTGGTACCTAGATTATGATTTCTGTTGCTTGTGGGCTATATGTTCACTGAATATCAAAAAACTGGGATTAGATTTTATGGGTATTATTGTAATTAGTAAAGTTGGAGGGGTTGGTGTTAATGTGCCTAGTTGGAGGAGTGTATGTAATAGTTATCCCTTTAGTTTCAATATTCTTGTACTTAAAAGTTGGAAAAAAATTGTGACATGATAAAGAGAGGACAACTTGGCCCTTAGGTGGAGGACAGATTTGCACATACATCCCCGATTAATAAGGAAACAGGTTTGTGTTTGCTTTACAAAATTTTTGTATTTAAATTCTTCTGAACTCAGAAAGTTTTCTTATAAAACAGCATCTTGACAGAAGCTAAATATGTGCCATGTAGATGTGAACAGTATGTGGAGGAGAAAGAGGCAGATATATATTCTTCAAGGGGCTGCCTGCCAGACCCAGCTATAAAACCTCTTTCAACCCATTTGTATTTTTACTGTCTTCAAGAAGGTAATTCACTTTGGCCAGGCAGTTGAATATAAAAAATCAGAAAGCTGAAATAATTTTCTCTTTTTCAGCAGAAGATTGTGTAGTCCTAATATAGCACTGCTACTTCTAGAAGGAACTGAGATCTTTTGTGTATGTGTGTCTTAAGAAATTAGGATAATACTGAAAATCAGAAGTTCAAATTCAGTTTCTTCTTAAACATAGCAATAATGACAGACTTTTTGAATATGCTAATCCTTTTTATTTGCTGACTTTTTTTAGTGCTGCTGAATTTGGAAAGAGTTTGGTTCCCACTTAAGCAGTACCTGGTGCTTCTTAAAGCATCTCATGAAGTGGTCTTCATCTCACCACCAGTCACCTAGCAATGAAGACTGCTAGGTATTGTAGAAACCTAGGCTGTTGAGCCCAAGATTTTGAAATCAGCCTGAGTGTTCTTGGCATTTGATCCTAAACCAAATATATTTATCAATATGTGGTTCTTCCTGAGCAAAGGGGTGTTGGTGTGCTGCTCTTCAGGTTTAGGTCTGCTGCTCTTTAGAGGAAGGATCTGGAGCACAAGTCCTGTGAGGAGCAGCTGAGGGTACTAGAGTTGTTTATCTGAAGAAAAGGAGGCTCAGAGGGAGCTTCTTCTCTCTAAACTGCCTGAAAGGAGGTTGTAGTGAGCTGGGAATTGGTTTCTTCTCCCAGGCATCCAGTGATAGGACAAAGGGAAATGTCTTTATGCTGTGCCAAAGGAGGTTCAGATTCAATATTAGGAAAAGCTTCTTCACTGAAAAGAGGGTTAAGCATTGGAACAGGGTGCCCAGGGAAGTGATGGTGTCACCATTCTGGCAGTGTTCACAAAATCAGTAGACATGGCACCGTGTGATGACATGAGCATGGTGATGTTTGGTCGAAGATGGGGCTTGATGATCTTGGAGGTTTTTCACAACCTTAGTGATTCTAGGATTCTTTGGTTCTATATGGAGCATCCCCATAGCCCTAGAATAATGGAGGATGGAAGGGAATCTGTGGTTGTCCTGTGGTCAGCCCCTGTCTCAAAGCAAGTCCAGTTTGAGTAGCCAGATGATGGCATTACTTTAACATATCTCTAGGGATGGAGATCAAACAGACTCTCTGAACAATGTGTTCCAACATTCAACAAGCTCATGGTAATTGTTTTTCCTTATATTGAGTTGACATTTCCCATGTTCCAGATTATGTCTGCTGCCTCCTGTCCTTTCACTCTTTCCCTCTGAGAAGAGCATGGCTCCCATTTTGTGTGCATGCCATCAGGTGGTTTTAGACAGCAGCACAATCTCCCCTGAGCAGGTACATCTCCTGCAGCCCCTCTGACCTGGCCACCTTGCCTCATCTCCCTCCAGTAAATCTTGGCCTGAGGAGCCCAAGGTGGTGCCTGCTGCAGTCTCTTAAAGGATGAGCAGCAGGGAAGGTCACATCCCTGCATCTGCTGGCTGCACTGGTGCCTCCCAGGATGTGGCTGGTCAGCTGCTGTGGGGACATGCTGCTGACTCGTGTCCCACATGGTGTCCACTGGCACCTCCATACCTCCTTATGCTTTCCAGCTGATAAACCCCTGTGGTGCACTGGTGCATGGGGTTCTTCCTCACTGCTTGCAGGATTTAGCATTTTCTCTCGCTGAAATTTGTGTAGATGGTAGATGCACTCAATGTCCACTTTGTATCATCATTTTAATCCATGGGGATTCATCCCTATGGAGCACCTTGAGGGATGTGATTGTACCAGGTACAAATTGGAGCAGAATTTGATTCTGCTGGTCCTTAGGTTGCAGTCTGACATTACACCTGACCTGGTGTAACTGCAGCCAGCTACTGAAATGAATACCTTTGCTCTCTCCACAACCTGACCACAGGCTTCTGTTAATTTTCATATATCAAATTTTGTTGACTATTCAGCCACAGAGTAGGATCAGCAATTTAAAGAATAGATGGCCATCCATCTGCTCTGATTAAAAAAAAAAAAAGAAAAGGAATATTTTCTTTTGTCCCTCCCGGAAAGCTTGAATGACTTGTCCATGGGTGCACGGATTGAGGTGTGGTGCAGAGAAAGACAAGACCAGGACCTGATCTTTTGGTATCAGCACACAGTTACCCTGGATTAGGCTGATGGTGATTTGATGTTTTACAATATAGTTTTGTTGGTCACCTCCATATTTTTTTCTGAGTTTGCAAATATTTTAGGCAGATGGATAAAATAAAATTTGTTGGGAGATGAATCATACAAGTCATTTGAGAGAGCTGCTTTAAAAATGCTCCTAATTCTCATTTTAAAAATAGATTATCCAACTGTGAAAATCTCACTGAATATTTATTAAAGGATAAGTAGCTAATTAAAACCCTGTCCTGGTTTTTGCAATACCTAGCAGTGTTCAGTGGGTGACTGGTGGTGAGATATCATTGTATTTGAAGGCAGATATCCTGCTCTTATCCCAAAGTTCTATATATAGTACTGCTCACAACTTAGAGAACTCAGCAACTGAAACCTTGTTAATTGACTGCTACCACCTTCTGTTGTGCCTTCACTCATATTGGCACTGAAATGCTTGAGCAGAGCTGCTTGTGAAAGGGAGAGGTCAGCTGGTACAGGAAAACTGGCAAATGTGTTGGGTAAGAATTCCCAGTGAGCAAGACAGCGAAACAAACTTTGAGACTTATTTATGGGTTTAGAAGACCTGTGAGGGGGGAAAACGTCTGTGCCTTGGGGTGGGCAGCTCCAAGGAGTACCTCTCTGGGGTTTTTCTAGAGCAAGATGTCTTGCATATTTGGAGAACAATAAAGAATCAAAATTGTTGCCCTCTCCCACTGGAGTGGGAAGGTACGATGATTAGCTACTGAACTCTTAGAAAATAAACCAAGTACAGTATTTTTATGGGCTAGGAAAACCCCTATGTGCCATCCCATCTAAGGAGGCTCTGTGACTTGCTGTGGTGCCTTGTGAGCTTTGGCATCTTGGGACGTGCCATGTGCCTGGTTCTGTCTTTGTGCTGTAGGAGGTCAATCATCCTGTTCTTCTCTTCTGGTTTTAACTGATTTCCTTTTGGATTATCTGATTGCTCAGACAGTGATGAGATGAGCCAATTTGAAGTGGGTGGTTCCTGCTTCTCCTTTAGCTGCTACTTGGTGCATCTGTTTGAGATGAGCTTCTGTGCTCAGCTGGGAGTTCAGCTGGACCTTTATTAGGTGTATCCCTGAGTCAGGAAGATACATTTCCCTTACCTCTCCCTACTGCTCCTTTTAAACTACATACAAGATTGTTCAGTAGTCACAGTCATTCTTTTGAGCAGTTAATTGTGCACAGCTCCAGCAGGTCACCATCCCCAGGATTATTAATGATGCAAAGCCTGCTGTTTTACTGGGGCATGTCATGAGAGCCCAGCTGGGTCATGAGCTGAGCCCAGCCTTGTTTCTTGTTTCCTGTAGAGACTGGCAAAACACAGTTGAAGGTACTGTCCTGCCCAGGGCATGCAACTGTGCACAGGAGTGAAAGATGCCAGGGTAGTTGTATGGGAGCCAGGGTGGTGCTGTGATGTATCAGTGCAGCAGGGTGCTGGTTTTCTGGGGCTTTAATTTGGAGCAGGTTACCAGTGGTAATAATAATTCTGTGTGTATCTGTAAATCAAGATGAAATGTCTTACTGAAAACATGCAGGAGATCGATTACAAGTTCTTGTCTCAGTTCTGGAATGGTTGAAATCCCTTGGCTTGTGTCTTTCCACTTAATTAGTAGTGCTAAGTCCTAGGCTTGATTTTGTACTACTTTGTTAAAATGGAAACACGATTAAATGGTTTCTTTCACATTTGCTGTAGAAAATACAGGACAGTATTTGAATTGTATCACTCCATTTTGAGACATTTTTGGTAATTAGTCATGAATTTGTATTATGTATATAGAAGTGTATCACATTTACTAATTTTTATTTAAATGTACATGTGTTCATTTAAATAAACTTTGGGTTGGTCCAGATGACCTTCACAGGTCCTTTCCAGCCTCAACTCTTCTGTAAGTTCATGAAACTCTTATTATTCTATGTATTAGAATAATCTCTGACTTCAAAAAGTATCAAAATCTGTTGCAGACAAACAGCTATGACCTAAAAAGGTAGTGCTGGGAGTTTTTTTAATATATAACACAGAAGCTTGCTGCTGCTGCATTCCTGCAGGACAGGACAGGTTTGCTCACTGGAGTGCAGCTCCATCACATCCTGTCTGACACACTAGAGACAGTTGTCTTCTGGTGAGGTTATTGAGTAAAATTCATGGTACAATATCCTCTTTGGAACAGATGGAAATTTAGGCCTCCTGGATCTATACTAACATGGTGTTGGACCTCATTGTACCAGTCATACACAGATCATTTAGTTGGGTCAGAAAGTAAGGCAATATGAAAGGCTATTTCCATAAATTATTTTTCTCTAAGAAGAGGTAAGGTAAGAAGTTTTTGGACTACAAAAATTTGGGAAAGAGAAAAAAAAAGTGAATAGCAGAATTCATTATCAGATATCAAAAAAGATAATAATTGCATTCCGTGTGTCCTCATGATTTTTTAAATTATCACCAATGGTCCAGAATGGATGGCAGTGTTGAACACTCTCCTAGCTGGTTTCAAATATATTTTAGTAACATTATATAGAAACAAAGGACAGTGTTGCTTTTGTTCTAAGTAATTAAAAAAATTCTTTTAAATGTAATTCAAGTGTAGATTAAGCTTCTTTTAATCAATTTAGGGAGCAAAATAGTGTTTAAGTTTAGCACAAAGTGTCTGTGTAGCTTTTGCAGTGGAGACAACCTTGCAATTGGTATGAATTTGATATTTGATAGCATTTGTGGGAGAATGCCATGCAGAGTTTTAATGGAATATTAATAAAATAGTGTGATCAGATGGACTTAACCATGAGGCAGAGGGTGTGTGTTGTGTTTGTGCCCCATTAAGCCATATTTTGATAGCTTGGATAGGGATTTAGTTGGACATGAGCTTTGGGTGGAGTGAAATGTGCTTCCAAATCCTCACCATCCTTCGCTGCATATGAAGTGATTTGTCCATCTGGTTCCCTTAGAGAAAAAGCCTCAGTGGTTTCGTGCCCAGACAAGGAAGTGTACAGCAGGGAGCTTTTGTTTTAAGAACATTGATAAAAAGGAAAGATTTAATCAAGTGTAAGGAGAGCTGTTTTTGGGTAGGGGAGATAAGTAATGTAGACACTGTGGGTTTTATAACTGGGGTAGGTTTTTTATCTTTCAGACTACACTAACATTTGCTTTCTGAGCACATAGCTTAAGAGAAAGACTTTGATGTGGTAAAAAGTTGTGAGGACAAGTGCTGTTTTTTAACGTACAAAAGTCATCACTGTTGTGCAGCTATTTGACAACATAAAAGCAGCTGCATTTGCCTCTACTTAACTCCCTGTAATGCCAATTTTATTTTCATTCCGTAACTGATCCTGTTAGTGATGTACTCTGGCTGATACTACATTTCTTAGATACACAACAGTTTGAACTTGAGTGCTCACTGTGTTTTTGTATCTTTAGATATTTTTTTTTTTCCTGAGAAGCTGTAACTCTTTGCATTTGAAGTTGCCTGTTTGATACATCCCTTTGATACTTAAGCCTCTAAGTGGCTGTAAAACTGAATGAGAACCGGGAAAGCAGAAGAAAAGAAGCCAGAGTATAGTCAGTTCCTTTATGGAAAGATATTTAATTTTGATAAAGGCATGAGACTGTAACCAGTTTGCTTTTGTTTCTGCTCTTGTAGGTTGCCTTTCCCTGCAGGTGACCGTGTAACTTTTAATGGGAAGGAATGCATCTGCCAGAAATGTTCCCTGCCCCCTTCCAGCACCACTGGCTCTTTCCCGGTACAGAACCTGCGCAGTAAGTACAGACTTCTGCTCCTCTCAGTCAGTACTTCTTAGTCTGCACAGGTTTAAAAACCAGAATTTTACACCAGTATTTACACCTGGAGCTTCTACTACTCTGCTGCATAAGAGGTGTCATAAAATATGAGGTAGTGAAAAAGTATAGGGTGTTTTTTCAAAAAGTCTGATATTAAAAAGAAACACAGATGGTACTGTTATAGGATTAACAATACATTGAACTTCTCAAAAATTTGATTAAAACAAACTGAATCAAATTATTTGGAGAAAAACATAATATGGATGTTAATATTTTAGAGGATTTAGTCCAAGTCCTCTTGAAATAAAATCCAGTGTGAGATTTAATGATTTGTAAGTGTTCCAGTATTTCTTTAGAAAATATCAGTGGCAGGACTGCATGGCTGAATACTTCACAGCAAGGGGTTTAATGTATGAAATGTCATGGGAAGACATTCACCTTGACCTCAGACTATTGTGCACTATCAGAAGATACAAACACTGCGGGAAAGAAATGTGGTCTTTTCACCTCAACCATTTTGCAGTAGATCATAGAGAGGTGGTATTGCTCTGAACTCTGTTCCTCTGCTGTTTTGCTCATGAAGTGCTGCCATTCTTTAAAGAGTCCACCACTACCTTTATGTAATTAAATAGCATCAGCAATTCAATTAAACAGCAAAGACAAAAAAAAAAATTTAATGACTGTTATGTCAAGCTGGATTCAGCATGGCTGAGGAAGGGCCCCATGGATTGCTCATTTTCCTGCATAAGGAATCTAGCCCCCTTCTGGGAGAAATCTCTCATTTTTTATTCTCTTTTCTTCCCGCCCCACCCCCCATCGACATTTCTTCACAGACGTTTTCACCATCTCCTTTCTACAGTTCATCAGAGATGCTCTACTGATTCCTCTTGCTAATGTCATTCTCTCCTGGGGATAGGTTGGCCCTCTCGGTTGGGTGCTTTCTCTTGTCACCTGTTCCAGAGATGGATCCTCCTTGGCCATCTTTCCTGTCTCTGTCATATGTGAAAAGTGCCTTTGGCTATAATGGACATTATTTGCCTGGTTGAGTACTGACAGAACAAGTTCATTTGATTATCTGTGATACAGAATCCTTTAATGTATTTACATTTCCTTTCTCTTTGCACATACATACCATGGAGAGTTTTTCTTGTAGTTGCACTTCCCCAGCTCTCTTGTGTCACTGCACTGAGCCTTCCCAGAGCACAGGTACCTGCAGACCTCAGCAAGCCACTTGCCTCAGAGAGAAACAGCACTGGGAGCACATCTTTGAGGCAAAACCTGACCCTTTTGCTTCTCACCTCTTTTATGCATTCCATTTGGAAAAAAAAGAAGAATGTAAAATATTTGCTTTCTGCCCGAGTCCTTGAATTTCTTATTATTTAAGTACCTACCTCTCTGTTATGTTTTGTTTTATAAAACAACAGCTCTGAAAACCTCTTGTGACAGTATTGATTTTGAGAGAGTACTCAAGGAGGAATATCAACATGTAGCAGCAAATTGATGTGTTCTGCAGAGTTATTGCTTGAAATTAGTTGAGTCACCAAAGGATGCTGCATCCAAGATGGGAAGACAAGGACACTGCATCAGTAGGCACTGTTGGCATAGCAACCACAATATTTGTTTGTAATTATCTGGCACTTTACAGAGAAAACAGCAGTTGGGAATAAAAAAAAAGGTAGCTCACAAAATGCTGCATTTCTGCCCACCCAGGCTTAAACCAGATGAAAGGTGAATGACATCTGAGCACATGATGTTGTATTCAGTTTGTGAAATAAACCCTCAAGCAAAGAGATTAAATTAGATTTCCAGATGAATCCCCAGTACAGGGGAGATCACAAACAAATTTCTAATTGCAGTTAAACAACAGATACTGCAGAATACTGCAGGGACTAAAACCAGGCACACACCCAAATGTTCTTTTTTATTAGCAAAACTCAAATGTTCTGATCTGTAGAGCACATGTTTTTGTGCTAAGCTTGTTTCCACGTATTGGTGCTCAAGAGGGTAACATTAAAGAGACACATCATTGCTCCCTCAATACATTACAAATCCACTAAAGGAAAATAAAAACTGTGCTTTATCATTGTGTGCTCAGATGTGAAACATTTACAATTTCACTTACACTGTCTCATTAGGGTCATGTAACCAACTAAATATAGTCTTAAATCAGAAAGATTTAAGAGGACTGTTTAAATGTTTTAATGAGATCCTAGGTTGAGAGTTCTTTCCTTAAGACATTGTTATGTTTTTTTTTTTCTCTCCTGGCCTTTCTGAGTGGTTAAGTGTCTTTCAGGTTTTGTCTTTTCTCTAGAAAACTGTTGGTATACCTGAAGAATTCCTAAAAATATTATGTATTTTTCCACATGAAATGGAAGATATTTTATGGAGGAATAGAAGGATTACTGAGATATTTGTACTAGAATCATTTTATCACTGGCATTAATCCCTTTTTTTCCACACATTCTGACTATTTTATCATTTAGTAGGAAAATCATACATAGCCAGGCAATCTGTAGAGTGAAGAGTGGATGAGACGTGGAGCTTGTAGGGTATTAGAGGGTTTATTCAGGATATAGAGAACCAGATCCAAATCCCATGTCTACATAACATCTCTAAAGAGGGCACTCACTGGTGGACTGTTCACGTAAACCAAGTGTAAATTTGGCTTTTACTAGCTTAGTCAAAATCTTCCATTGTTAAAATAAAAAAGGCAACCAAATCCCCAGACAATCCTGTTCTCAGTAACTTTCTGGGGAGTGTAGCTAGTTCACCTACAGCTTGTTTAACCATCACAGACTAACCTCTGTTACCCAGTTACTGCATGTTTTCCATGAATTTTTTTGTTAGCACCTCTTGGAGCTTTATATAAGTGAATTTTTACAGAGAATTAATACATAGACTGCCATCACTTTCACATACTGAAATGTCACTAATACCTCTTATGTATTGGTGTGGTTTACTGGTTACAGGAAATTGCATACCAGAATTTCAGCTTGGGTTTTCTTCATGGTTGCAAAAATTTGAAATAAGTAGAGCTTGCAGATCCAAAGGCAAAGGCTAATATGAAGAATAATTGTTTATTTTATTCTTCATTTTTAAATTTCTTTTATGGAGCTGACTTGTGATGCTTGAAAAATTAATCAGCAAATCTTTGAGTTTTTTTATACACAGTATAAGTGAATTAAAATAAAGCCTAAGTCATTAGGAAACTGAAGTCATCAGCTTTTTTCTTTGAATGATGCATGTGTTGTAGCAATGTCAGAGCTTTCTAAGGACAGCAGCACTTGCCATCCATCAGCGAGCAGTGGAGTGTGAGCTGTGGACCCTCGTGAGCTGTTACTGGGACACTGATGGATACTTGGACTGCCATAACCAACTGTTGCATGACCCAATGAAGAAGAATATGATTCACTCACTTGGGTTTTTCTCTTGCAGATTGTGGGGGTTGTGGTTCAGAAATAAAAAATGGTCAGTCCTTGGTCGCCTTGGACAAGCACTGGCATTTGGGCTGTTTTAAGTGCAATACGTGTGGCAAGCTACTGAATGCAGAGTATATCAGCAAGTAAGTAGAGGAGTATTTTCACCTCTTTTCAGCATTCTTTTAATCCCAGATAATTAATTTATCATTGCACACACTTTTATGTTTATATATATATATATATGTATATGTTTGGAGATATATAAGATATTAGAGATTATTGTCTAAATTATCTAAATTGTATTAAAAAATGGAATGGAGAAAAGTAAAAGTCACATTTTTCCATTTACCTGGAATGAGACATGACAAACTAGTTATGCTACAGAGAGGCAGCAGGAGGAATATGTTTCCAAGACCCAAATGTATGCCCTTAGTTCCTGTGGTTTTGCTCTCTGTGATGCTGTAATGAAAACAAGCAGGTACTGTTCTTTCTATATGTATTACATAAGGAGAAATGTTAGCCAAAAATTAATTAAGGATGTACATACCGTGCTTTTGTGCTGCCCCAGACTCTCATGCTGTCAGATTTGGACTGAATGTGATGACAGCACAGAGGAGCAGCACAAAGTCTGCACACAGACCATGTCCCATGTCAGCACTACCATCAGGCCAGTGACATGCAGGCCTTTCACTGGCCAAGGCACCTGGGATTAATTTCTGCTTCAGAGAAGTGTGTTCTGTTGAAATTTCCTTAAGCAGCAAAGTCACCAGTGCCCAGAGATTATGAAATTTCAGAGCCTATGTCCCACTGACTTTTGCCAATTCTTTGGATTTCGATCAACACAAGTACAACATTTAATTTCACATCTTGTGCTGGAAAACAATATTTATTAAAAGGGTGTTCTTAAATAAGGTTTTGCATTGTCTCAATGTTGTGCTATTCTGCTGTATTTCAGTACAATGCTTTTTTTTCGCTTGTTATTTAATATAACCCCTCCCATAAACTGTGAAGATGTAATTATTGCAAAATCTTCTTTTTAAAAAGGCTAAATGCCAAACAAAATAACGCAAGAGAAGAAACGTCCTCTCTTTAATTAATTAAATTAATTATTGTGATAACTTATAGGTTAGTCGCTAAGAAATCTAACTTCCATGCTATAAAATTAATTTCTATGTTTCTCCAGGGAAATGTCTGGTAAAATTATGCCTCTGCTAATAAATCTGTCTGATCATGGGCTGCTTTACTATGACAAACAAAATATACTTAACTATGTTTAACTTGAACTTTGAAACACAAGAAGAGTCTCCAGTTTCTTCTTAGAGCAATTTGTTTATATTCACCAGTTTAATGGTCTACATATACAACTTAGTAAAATTGTAAAATGTAAAATTAACAGGTTCTTGTCAGGGCAGTAGTCCAAATGTTCTGGTCTTGGTGCTTAAAAATAAAAGCTGAGACTCCAGGATTTTTTCTTTCTATCTCTAAATTGTATTTTAATTCACTGGTGGTGGTGAAATAGCTGGCCACATTATGCATGGACACACTGCTGCTCAGGCTGAGTTCTTGTAGTCATTGCTGGCTTCTGTGGAGCACATTCCCAAGATGTTTGATCCATGACTGTCTTTAAGCAAGTCCAGATAAGAGTGCCAGTAGATTTAAATGTTTATCAAAACTTGGTTTACAGACAAGATATTTGAGAAATTACTCTCTGCAGTCTCAGCTAAAGGATTAGGTCATGCATATATTGGACGATACATCAACTGGAAGAATTAGATGATAAGAGGAGAAGAGTAATATGTTGAAATAACTGTCTTTTCTACAGAGGGGAAAACATGTGAAACAAGTTAATGGGTAACTTGATTAAACAGGTGGTGTGAGGGTCTCAGAGACTCTGTTGTTACAAGGCTGATGGCTGAGTTTAGCAACAAAGGAGAAAAGTGGTCCAATGTAGTTGTTCATTACTATCCAGCTTTTAAAATATTAATAAATACGAGATACTTGGGAGGCAGGAAGCCCCACAAATACCCTGTGAAGTGTTGAAACATTGACAAATTGTAGATGCACAACTCCCAGTAAAGTGTAAGCTTATATAAAGAAACATCAGCTGACATGGAGCCTGTTGTTCTTCCCTAGGGATGGGGTTCCGTACTGCGAGACGGACTATCACGCCAAGTTTGGTATCAGGTGTGACAATTGTGAGAAGTACATCACAGGAAGAGTGCTCGAGGTAAGGAGAGCACATCTCCAAGTGTACAAAAAGAGTAGCTCTTTTGGGTTTAGTCCTCTGCTCACAAACGAGTGTTAATGCAACAGCTTAAGGTTACTTCTATTAAATACCAGGAATTTTTCTGTAATCGGGTTTTCTGTTTCTTCTGTTAATGATTTGGTAATACACAAACTTCCTAAATGGATATTTATGGTACTGGAGAACGTTCAGGCAGCAGAAGTAATAAATGAATGTGTTATCACGCAAATTTTAAGACTTGCACTAAATTCATTTGTAATTTCTGCTTTTTGATTCTCTTTTATGTTCCCCAAAGATAGGATGAAGCTGTTTAAAAGTAAAGTAAATTATTTGAACTGTTTTTGCACCCAGAAGTGAACTGTGTGGCAGAGATTTTTTTTGTTTGTTGTTCCAAGACACAGGAGGTTGTTTAGTGGAAGTGTATGTTTATGCACTATACAAAAATTTCCATATAACTGACCCAGTGTCACAAAATGAATATATTCCTTTGATCTGAATAAAAATTATCCTTGGATATAAATGTACTGTTACCCTGTCAGTGTCATCAATTATCTACTTTTTCTTTCTGCTTTTCCCTGTGAAGTTCAAGCAGGACTGGAGTTATGAAGAGTGGTTCAGTTCACTCTTTTCTCTTCGTCAGCTAAAAAACCTGGAGAAGTCCCAAAGGGCTTCCACCAGAGAAAAAGCTGATTGGAGTCACACAAAGGTTTAACTGCCCAAGTGGTGGACAATTATAACTTACTAGGAACTGATGAGCAAGTATCCATACCAGATGGGAGTCTGTATTGGATGGGATGATGTGGTGTTAACATAGGCATGAGAGACTTCATTAACAAATGTTTTTACAGACCTCTCTGAAAAGAGGTTTCTAAAAGGGAATCTGTAAGAGTATAAAGGCAGCTTTCTCACTTTTTTGCACACAATTGTCTCAACTGGAAGAGGCAAAACAAAAGAAAGCATCTTAAAACCTCCAAAAATGTGAAAGGTGACCAGTGGAAGCTGTTATGTGTTTTCAGAGGTGCCAGCCGTTGACACTGAATGAAAAGGAGTAAAAGGGGCTGAGATTTGAAAGTGAAGGTAATTAGGAGAGGTGAATGCAGAGACAAGAGTTAAAGCTGTGGCAAATTTGGAGTGCACTTAGAGCAGTTTACAAGGAGTGATTAATACTGAGATAGGAGAAGAGCAGAAGCTCTAGTTTCTGTACTGACTTTTGGCTTCACAATATTGTGTTTTTCTGTCGTGATTCTTACCTTGAAATATGTGCAAGAATGCTCTTTTTATGTGGTAATATTTTACTTGCAGTATGGTTAAACAATAGCATTTGGTGTGATGTGATTAAGAACTGGGTCCTTACTGTCTCTATGGATAATAAAAAGAAAAAAAAAGTCTTAAAGGTTTGCACAATAACAGTACCAAGGTGTGATTTGTGGGACCTGGAAGCACATGTGACTGTGATTGATTCTTCTGACTGCCTGGTGAGAGTGTACTGAATAGGAAGACAGTTCCTTGTTTTTATTGTGGGTGGGCCACTAACAAACTTAGGAAAAGCTAATTTTTGAAAGCTATTGTAAGAATTGTACCATGAGAGATTACATGTGATGGTTTTGGTTCAGTGTATGTGTGTCCCTCTCCTGTCCATTCTCCAGTGTTGCTCTAAACAACACTACAGCTCTGTAGCACTGATTCTCATCTTGCTTTGGTACTGGTTCAGGCTGGGAGCAACTTTCATTGGTCTGTGGCATCTAACTATGGAAAAAATGCTGATACAAGATTCTGAAACATTTAAAAAAAATAGATGAGGAGAAAGGACTTTGACCATCTGTAAAAGCACAGATAGTATCATTGTGAAACAGGAAACGGGTTGAAGTTAGGATGGAGCAGGAAATGGATTTGAAAGGTTACAGTGACATTTAGTGTCTGGGCACTTGTTGGACCAACCTGGAGGTTTTATGATCTGTAAACTTTTTTCTGTAGAATTGTACAAAACATTTGTTGGTTTGTGTGTAACAAAGCTAATGAAGCTTGAACACAGATGCATGTCACATGTCCTAGCATTCTGCTGTCACAGTAGGTGCTGTTCCTCATGACATCTCCCTAAATATCTGCTCCCATCCCCTCTGTTTTTGGTGACATTATCTCAAGAGCTTTCTGTACATTCCCTCTGCCTGTTTACAAGTGGTGACTCACACTGTGAGCCTTCTTCCGCGGTGATCAGCCTGGATTTCCACGAGTCTTTGGAAGTCTGTAAGGAATCACTTAAAGCAGCCTTTGAGTTTTGGTGTGGACTGTGGAGAGCAGCTGGATGAGGAGGCAATGCACACACCTCGATTCAGTAGGAAGCCAAACAAAAAGTCATGGCCTGAGCAAACAGATTTGAAAGGATGCAGAGACCGTGTCTGTGGCTAACATGGTTAAGGCATTTGTTGTTTGTGTGCAGCAGATGGATTTGTTCAAAAGCCTTGAACTGGGGCTGATCTTTTCTCTCTCTCTGGTCTTGGTATTGAACTCGATGTCTGTTTGTTACTAGCAGGCTCATTGATATGTTTTGTATCTCCTGGTCAGGGGGACAGAAAAAATACAGGGTCATCATGCCTGTTCTTTTGTTGTAGGGCATAATATTTGTGGAATTTTCTGGAATACTGACACATTTTTCAAAGCATCAGTATTTCTTTTTACCATCTTGAATATCATCTGGAGAAACACAGAAATAATAGGGCAAATTGCTCCTAAAGTGGGGGGAAGTCTTGACAGCAATACTTATTAGGCAGAGGAATACTCTCCCAAGGGAGCTGCTGGAAACTATCACTTAGAAAGTCTTATAACAAGATTGGACAAGGCACTGGAGAATCTGTGCTAGGGAGCAGTTCTGCAATGACAAAGGGAGGGACTATATGACTTAATAGGATTTTTTCCATCTCTGATTTTTGTGATAATGTCAGGAGGACAGCTGCTTCCACAATTATTCTGTGCCCAGATTTTATAATACTGTCTCCCTTGAGACACTTGTTCACTTGTTCGTTTTAAGTGTTTATTCAGCAGAAAGGAAGGGAGAGTCAACTAGTGTGAGTTACTGATAAATTATAAAAATATGGCTGTTTTTGTAGGTTGTCAGCCAAATACAATGATGATTTAGTTACCTAAATTCTTCTCTCAGCCCATTTTCTGAGGGCCAAATTCATTCCATGTAGTAAATTGGCTTAAACACAAGATAGCTTTGTTTATAATTCCTTTCTAGTTTCTTCCTTCCCCTCCAGTCCACCTTGGCTTGCACCCACTCTCCCAGGGAACTTGTACTGGAAAAGCTATAAAAGGGCCTGAGCAGTTCATTTATGGAGATGATAAATTTTATTACTTTTAAAAGCAATTATTTTGCTGACTTTTTTTTTTTTTTTTTTTTTAAACCCTACCCACCAGTGCATTTATGGGCAAGATTTGCTTTGTTTGTGATGCATACAGAACACTTAAATACAAATCAATCCTCTCCTAGAAGCTGTGTTATTTTATTCCTGACCATGTGTATTGATAAACCTGCCAGCTTAAGCGAGGAGCAAGAGGCTGCTGGAGTTTACTTTCATAGTTTGACTTAAAATGCACTGTAGCTGAAAACCTCTAGGGAGAGAAAGGGTTTACTTCAGTGCTTGTGCTGTATCTCTGCTGCCAGTCCTGCAGTTGTTATGATCATGCAATAACACACATTTTAAAATAACAAGCCATTGATTTTTATGACCAGCTATTTCTCTTTTGTTGTATTGCAATCTGTTTCTCTGCACTTAGCACTAAAAAGATTTTTCTCCTTCTTTCTATTAAAAGCAGTAATTTATTAGTTAAAATTTCAACTTGTGCTATTGAGCATATCCTAAAAAAAGTTATTGCCTTTTTTTAAAAAAATATACTAGATTTCTTATGATAATTCAGAGCCTGCTTTAAACCCCTTTCATTCAAGAAAAAACCTTCCATTTGTTCCCTCATTTTAATCAGTCTTATAGCTGCATTTTGCTGGGGGAGGCAGAGATATGTTGTCTGTCTCCCAGTCCTTCCCACGCAGCAGGTTGTGTAAAAGGTTTGGAAAGCTGTTGAGGTGCATGACAAAGCTGTGTGACAGCCCATGACTCCTCCTTGTCCTCTCCTGGGAGGCATGTCTGGGTTTCCTTAACATCTGACACTTAGAAATACCATCTCAATTCCAGCATCTCTCTATTTTAAAGTGGTCTGCATTAAAATAATTAAAAATGCTTTGGGTAAGATTTATTTTAACTTTTTTTAAGTGTTGTCTCCTTTAATTGATGAACTCTAAGGAGAATTTATAGAGAGTAGTCTTAGTTCTTTTCAACTTTTATTTTGCAAAACAGAGAGAACCCAATTCTCCTCTGCTCATGAAGTCAACTCCAGGCTTTTCTGGTGATGCTGGCAGGCCTTCTCACTGTGGGTTCCTAACTGGAACCACCTTCTCTCAGCGTGGAGGAACATTGTAAACATTGTACTCCAGACACCACCTCACCACTGTCTTATGAGTGACAGTAACCCCTTGCACCGTTTCTAAAGAAAGTACTTTCCTGGTATATCCCACACTGGTGCAATTTTTTCCTCTGAGCTCTTCAACATTGACAGCCCATAGTGAGATAGTACTTTGAGGGGAGAGGTTCTCTTCATCTGCAGTTTCAGCTGGTGGTTTCCTACATTGTTAGAAGAAGTCTCCATATCCAAAGATAACCTTTCTGGGAATGTTTTGATGGCAAACACAATATAGGCTGTGAGGGGGTCACGTTTGCTTGGATAGGCACCTGCATCCCATCAGTGGCCAGAATACCCCTCAGGGGTATTTTCAGCACTCCACTTTATCTAACTGTTCACTGATTCACAGCTGCATGACTGTGGTGTAAATGTGTCTTATAAGTGCTGTTGAAAATCACTTAGAGCAGTTGGAACCATCTTTATGTTTAGTATCTGACACTCTAACACGGCAGCATGGCACTCAGTTTATG